CGTCTGGAAAGAATGGGGGGCGCGTGCGGGGGCGGATGGAGTTCTTCGCATTGATCCCGCTAAGTCGCCAAACCTAAGGGGGGGAAAAAGTTTTTGCCACTCTTTAAACAACGATTCGTTCATTATTTTACTAATTTTTTTTTCCTTTAAAAAAGGGGGGTTGAGATCCTTCTCTTCACTTTCTTTTGTTTATTCGACTACATTTTGCTCTGTGTAAAATTCTTCGGGTGTGTTGGTCACTCCATGTGTTACTGCCTCACCCCATCACCCTAATTCTGGAGGTGACAGTTTCTCACACACTCTCCAAAGACTTTCCAATAAAAATATGCCTTAAAAAATTAAAAGATAACATACGGTGTCATCGATAACTGGGTTGATGGAATGAATGACACGCCAGTTTTTTGGAGTGTCCCGTGGAGTTCACACTTGAAAAGGGCTGCTGAAATGAAAATTACAGATCCTTGACAAAGGGGGGGATGAGATTAGCTCACCCCGTTGGCTGATTTAACTGCTACATGATACTCCTAGAGTGCACACAGCAATCTCGACTTCTGGAATTTACTTTTTCCCCTGCTGTAAGGCAGGTATATGAAGTTTACCCTGAAGCAATTCCACAGTGTGTTGGGAGCTCAATACAGCAGTTTTCATTAACTGATAGACTTTCATTACTTTACAAATCACACATCTTGCTTCAAAGAGAGACATAAAGGAGAACCAGAAAAGTACTGGTTTCACTCAACACAAAAGGTTCTTAGTGATAAAGGACCGTACTCTTTGTGACTTGCACTCATTTGGATAGAAGTTCACTCAGGGGTTGTTAATGATTTAAACTCCAAAACTTGCTACTATAATTGAGGTTAAAAAAAATTGTCTAAAGAAGAGTTGTTTCATAAAACTCTTTGTAAGAGGAAACTTTGAACTTGGTTGAATACATTATATGTCATGAGTCAGATGTAGCTAAAAAATAAAAAAGGTGCATTATTTAACTATGTCTTCCCTTTTGGGCTTTTTTAAAACTCTGACTCATCATCTTATTATGTTAAATATTTTCCTACCAATTTTTAAATAGACTTTTTCATCAAAGAAGGTGGAGGCGTGGTGAAGATGTAGAACATTAAAATGAAGTTCTATGAGAATAACCATGCCTCTGAGATTTTGACTCAGAAATTTCCAGAGGTGTTAGGAAAAGCCGTGGGGATTAAAGGTAAGTAACCCCTTGAAAGATGACAATCAGTCTTTCTACTGGATATTTTTATTAATGAAACTTAAAAGACACTATATCCCTCAAGTGACACCTTTTTTGCTACACTGAAATTTCAGGATACATCCACGCCCCAAAACATCTAGCTTCCCAGTATGAAATAATACTGTTATATTCCGTTTAAACACCTGCTTGAATTGAATCTAAAACCAAAATGGGGAAGTCGAGTTCAACCTTCTCTGAAAGCAATTCTTCAAAAATTTTTAAACTGCTTGTTAACTTTCTCTGCACTATAATTTGAAGTAGAACCATATTTTAGCTCAGATCAAATTTAACTTTCCATGACTTACTATTGTTAATAGCAGTAAGCTTGAAATTAATTTATGAATGATAAATCAGAACTCATTCATTTAAGTAGACTCACTACCCCAACTCCGTAGAATCTCTGCACCTAACATAGTGGTGGAAAGATACTGGTCAGAGTGCCACACCAATGCTCCTCCTCCCAAGCCTTAGGTCAGGATGTTGAGGATTATTACTTTGCATAGATACACTACCACCTTTTCCTGAATTGCCATGACTCTTCACAATGTTTAGTACACTATAATTGAAAACACACTTTAGGCCTTTCCTCAGAACAGAGTACATTTCCTGCGACCTTTTAAAGGCATGCAGGCAAATGCTGTCAACTTTTAATTATATAGGTGTTGTATCAACAGCCGAAAGCATTTTTTAAATTGAATTTACTCTTACCTCCACCTTTCCAAAGATTATTTGAAATAGTACATAACAATAGAAAATGGAAATAAGAGCAGACCATTTTCTGCTTAAATCCTGGGTTGGTATGTGTGCTACAAAACACTACTCAAGGTCATTTGCATCTCACCCTCAAATGATGTATGCTTGGGGAAAGAACACTAACTCATTTTAATGCCAGACTAGTCTAAAATATTAGGAAGAAAAATACTGGACATTACTACAATGGGTTTCAAAGTCAAAATTAAATAAAAAATTTGGGTGTGCCTACCCATGAATTATTTCCTTAGATTAATGTTGACTCTAGCGATCAGTGGGAATATTCCATTTGGTTCACTTCCAAGGACTAGGTTTTGAAGACCATGTTTTACCTTAACAATCATAATATTTTCACTACTTCCATCTTCATCACCTCTCCACGCTAAGATTAAAATAAATTTTCTCAAAATTGTACATTGTAGGGAGATGTTTCCTAAGTACTCACTGTCAACAGGTGTTAACTCCATGTGAACCCAAATATTGCTTGTGTTGTGTAGACAGAGGGTTGAGCAGACACTTCCTTAGATAGTTTATATGCTAGAAGGGTCCACAAGGTCAAAACTATTTTCCTAACGATACTAAGATGCTATTTGTCCTTTTATTTTTGTTGATATTTGCACTGAAATGGCAGAACTATGACGGGTAAAATGCTCATGGCTTAGCACTAGTCAAGGTAGGGACATCAAAAAATGTATTAAGAGTCGTTTTCCTTGTTACTCAGAGAAATAAAATAAGAAATAAATATTATTGAAGAATGTCTTTGGTCAAGCAATAAAAGCTATTAGTTTTATTAAATCTCAACTGTTGGGCACAGGATTTTTGTTTTAGACAAAGCAGTAGGTACATAGAAAGCACTTGTAGTGAGTATATCAGTTGCCTAAAAGAAAATGACTCGTGAGATTGTTTGAAATAGACACTTCACTTGAAAGGGTGACAGACAAACTCAGACGAGTATTTCTCACAAAAGTGAATGAAGTAAGCCTGTAATTTCAAGGAAAACAATTGCATAGTATTTGGGGGCAATCATAATATTTTCAAGTGCAAGTGAAAATTAGAATTTGAGATAACTTGTGTCCTACCACGAGTTTAACAGCTTCTTAAGATGAACTTGCTTTTTTAAAAAATAAAGATCCATGGTGACATTAATAAATGTGACTTTCTGATGTAGTGTCATCAATTTGGATAATCTGCATAATGAAGTGGAGCACATTGGCACACACCTATAGTTCCAGCACCATGGGAGGTGGAGGCCCAAGGACCACACGCTGGAGCCCCACTTGGGCAACTTAAAGAACTTAGTAAAACTCTCAGAATTGTGAAAGATGGATGGGAAGTGGGGCGGGGGGATAGAGCTCAGTACAGGCTGTGGGTGTTATGCAATACAACAAACACTGTTGAATTCATGTTATTTTGTTTAATGAAATTCTGTATCTCTTCTAATTTTTAATTACTATTCTGTATTCCTTTTTTATTTATTTATTTTTTTTTTTTGAACCAGGGATTGAACTCAGGCCCTTGCGCTTGCCAGGGAAGCCGTTATTCTACTGAGCCATCTCCCCGGCCCCTTGTCCCCTTATATTATTTTTTCAAAAATTACAAAATAAAGACTCTGGGTGTACTCTTCGGTACCAATAAAACAAAACCTCCTGCATAATTCAATGAAGCAACATTTTTCAAATGACAAAAACGTAATGTTACTAGGTTATGCTGCAGTATAAGGAATCACTCAAATAAAGAAAAATGAGTGAATTTAAGGCAACAGAGTAGAAAAGTTGATTGATGATGGCTTCAGATTCCACACTATGTAAGTGACTTTTAAGAAACTGCTACTCATCAAGTTTTACTTTAATATCAAAGAAGGCTACTCCTATTACCTGAAAAGGCTATTAATATATTCCTCTTCTAAATTCATGTCTGTGTGAGGTTGGGTTTTTAAATGTATATTTCTCAGGCCAGCCAAATAGCTCAGTGGATTAAAGTACCTGCAAGCAGGTGCAGGGGCTGGGGGGTTCAATCCCCAGGCCTCCCTTGCTGGCCCCACCCCGGGGCACACTGAGACAGCAATTGACACTGGGTGTGGTGGCGCGGGCCTGTCATCCCATCTCTTGGAAGGCTATAAACAGTCGGATCACTAGAATCTCATCTAGTAGTGAGACCCTGAACACCCTATAGACCCTTCCCTAAAAATACTATATATATATATAGTATTATATATTGTATGTCTCTCTGGTTTTCTCTTTTGCAGGGCTGAGGATCAAACCCAGGGCCTCACACTAGCTGAGCACTACACCACGTATTTCCAGCCCTTCTTTATGTGCATCTTTTACCAAAGCAACATATTACAGCAAATGGAATGCAGAAGCAGATAGGAAAATCCAGCTAAGTTCTGCTAAGCTGGACATTACAGTGCATTGCTTAAATGTGGAGCATTGCCCCTCTTCTCATAAAATGTTTTGAAAAGTAAGTCATTTTTCTTAATATATATAACA